TAAAAAAAAAAAAAAAAACACTTATATGATCCTGTATAACCTCTCCAAAGACTCGATCTCTGTATCAGTAAAACAAAGATAATCTCCTATAAGGATTAGGGAAACTAAGGCATTTAAAGTGCTAGCCACGGTGTGTCACACAGAGTGAATGATGAATATACAATAAGTTCAGTTTCCTCTTTTATTTTTAATGTTTTATTTATTTTCTGAGAGAGATAGAGACAGCATGAGCAGGGGAGGGTCAGAGAGAGAGGAAGATACAGAATCTGAAGCAGGCTCCAGGCTCTGAGCTAGCCGGCAGCACAGAGCCAGGCGTAGGGCTCGAACCCACAAACCGTGAGATCATGAGCTGAGCAGAAGCCTGACACTTAACCAACTGAGCCACCCACACACCCCAGTAAGTTCAGTTTCAAGGCAAGTTCAGACTACGAGTATTCAAGCCCTCACTCTCTGCTGTTCCCACCTTGCTAGCAAGCTACTCAAGCTCCCTAAAGCCTCAGTCTCCTCTGTAAAGTGGGGTGATATTCCCAGAACGTTGAGGAACTATAAATACCAAGTATGACGCACAGTGGCTGGAAAACAGTTGAAGCTTAAACACGTACTTTTCTTTTCTTTTTTTTTTTATTTTTTTTATTTTTTTAAATTTTTTAATGTTTTACTTATTTCTAGGAGAGAGAGAGAGAGAGCGTGAGCAGGGGAGGGTCAGAGAGAGAGAGTCACAGACTGAAACAGGCTCTAGCTGGCAGTCAGCACAGAGCCCGAGGCAGGGCTCGAACCCACGAACCGCAAGATCATGACCTAAGCGAAAGTCGGACGCTTAACCGACTAAGCCACCTAGGCGCCCCTATTTTCAACATTATCTGCAACAAACCGACAATTCCAAATCTTACTAATCCCACAATCCTTTCGTCGATAGTCCCTGGATCTACAGATCCAAATGTCCATGTTTTAAAGGAGCACCTATTCAAATTATATTTAAAATGAGACTTTGTGGGAACTTGCACGTGGCATTTCAGACTCTTGTATTATAGCTGATAGTGGTGCGGGGCTCAGACTTCAGTTTTAACTGAAATGGAATGGAGAAAAGAAAAACTTGCCAGATTCAGGAGAAAGTACACAAGGTGCACCTTAATAATCTCTTAAAGGGTTATTTTTTTTTTCAGGGCACCTAGCTGACTCAGTCAGTAGAGCATGTGATCCTTGATGTCAGGGTCATGAGTATGAGCCTCACCCAGCCTGAATGTACATTACTTTAAAAAAAATTTTTTTAATAATAAAAAAAGATTATTTTTTTCTCAGCCAATAAAACCTCAGGCGGGAAAAAAATTCCCAGAATAAAACTCTCTCTTCCATCTTCTCTGTCCCACCAGCTCCAAACTGGTCCTTTATAGTCCCGGCTGCTGATATTATTTGCCCCACTCTACAGAACTCACCATATGCTCTCACAAGCGCTCCATCTACCAAAACGTGTCATTTTTGTTTTTAAGAAAATTAAAAAGAGCAAACCAGAAAAGCATAATGGATTCTTTGCTTAATCGGTGTCAAAGACATATATCTCTTTTCATGAGATTGGAAACCTAAGTGACCGAAAGTAAAACTTTCTGATTAGTGAATGTCATCTTGTCAAAAGACAAAGGACCCTAACTATCAGTACGTGGTGAAATAGAACCACGTTTTGAAATTCACTAGGGGCGCCTGGGTGGCTCAGTCAGTTAAGCGTCCGACTTCCACTCGGGTCATGATCTCCTGGTTCATGGGTTCGAGCCCCACATCAGGCTGTGCTGACGGCTTAGAGCCAGAAGCCTGCTTCAGACTGTGTCTCCCTGTCTCTCTGCCCCTCCCCTACTCATGTTCCCTCTCTCTCTCTTTCTTTCTCTCTGAAAAATAAAATAAAACATTAAAAAAAAGGAATTTTATTTGGTAACTTTATATCCTTGTTACCCAAGTTCTAAATTAAATCCCTTCCCTTATTTACAATCTATAGTCCTGTCTCGTTTACACTGACTGCAGCCAAAGTTTGCTTTAGCCAATAAGACTGTTTTTCTTATGAGTTGTCCATGACCCTTTTAGTCTTACAAAGAAAGGAAATATGGTTGACTCTTAAATACTGTTTTCATTTCTTTTTTTTTTTTAATGTTTGTTTATTTTTGAGAGAGACGAGGAGAGCATAAGCAGGGGAGGGGCAAAGAGAGAGGGACACAGAGAATCCAAAGCAGGCTCCGGGCTGCGAGGCTCGAACCCGCAAACCTTGAGATCATAACCCGGGCCAGAGTCAGACACTCCAGTGACTGAGCCACTCAGGCGCCCAGAGAAGTCCAGTTGACTCTTGAATAGCACAGGTTTGAACAATGGGTCCACGGACACGCAGATTTTTTTTTTTTATAAAATACACTCCTCTAAATGTCTTTTCTCTGCCTTATCATTTTCTTAGTAACTATTTTTCCCTAGCTTACTGTATTGTGAGAACACAGAGCCTAATACATGTATAAAATATGTACACGTCAACTGTTCACATCATCGGTAAAGGCTTCGAGTCAACAGCAGGCTATTAGTAGTTCAGTTTTTGAGGAGTCGAGTTACACAAGGATTTTCGACCGGAAGTGGGGGAAGTTGTGGCCCCTACCTCCATGCTGTTCAAGGCTCAACTGTGCTGCCTAGTGGCCCAACGTAAAGAGTGGGAATGGAAAACGCACCATCAGATCGGGCTCCTTCACTCACTAGGTTACCAGCAGTCGCCCACACACATTCTAAACACTAGTGAGGTCCCTGCAATGGTAGGGTACAGAGGGCCACCTGAAATGGTCCCTTCTAGTCCCAGGAAGTACTAAAACATACTCCAATAAGGTACTTCTGGATGACTTCTCTTCAAAACCACAGCGACCTAGGGGCGTCTGGGTGGCTTAGTCGGTTGGGCGTCCGACTTTCGCTTAGGTCATGATCTCACGGTTCGTGGGTTCGAGCCCCGCGTCGGGCTCTGTGCTGACTGCCAGCTCAGAGCCTGGAGCCTGTTTCAGAGTCTGTCACTCCCTCTCTCTCTGACGCTCCCCTGCTCACGCTGTCTCTCTCTCTCTCCTAGAAATAAATAAAACATTAAAAAAAAAAAAAAACCACAGCGACCTAGCCCAGCCCATGCTATTATAGGGATGATATGCGAAGGCTACCTTGGTGCGTTCCTCCATCGCTACACCCCCTTTTCCAGGGCGTGAAGGAAACGTGCCCCCACGTGGAACCTGTGTTGCCCAACAATGACAGCGTTTTACCCCTGCACAGTGAACTCGACCCCCCAAATGCCTTCACAGACATCTTCTTAGGCCACTGTCACCAAGGCCAGGGTACTGCTTCCACTACGCTTTGCAGACGTGGGTCTGAGAGACGAAGCACGGGCGTGCCCACAGAGGTGTGCTGACCACCGATTCTCCCCCGAGCAGAAGCATGGAGGCCTCTGAGTGAAGCTCAAGTCCAAAGCACTAATTTCGTAAACAAGGAAGATGAGGCTCAGAAAAGTACGGGTAAGTGGTCCAAGGTCACACAGCTAGACAGAAACATCTCTGAAGTAGAGCCCTGACCCTCTGGTTCTGTCTAACAAAATCAGGCGGTTAGATCCTGGCTCACCAATGAACGCACAGCTTGGTCTCTTACGACAAGTATAATTTCACTATTTTTTCCCCTTATTTGTAGAATGAGGACAATAGGTTGCTTCTGGGGCAAAACAGAGACAAGAAGCGCTAGAAGAAAAAACAAAACAAAACGCAGAATGCACCTTGAGTTACACGTGCTAATTTCATTTGGGCACAAGAACCTTTTACAAGTTCTTATAATTTGTAAGACAGACCACTCTACTGTCAGGTGACCTCCGAAAGTTCCACGCAGAGAAATCCTAACAGAGAAATGTCCAAACCTCGAACAACAGAACTGGAGGTCACTCAAATCCCACAGGAGACCGTTTTTGTTCAAATTACTAAGAAGAAAGAGGAGAAGAGGAACTTCTACTTCCTCATCCTGACAAAAAACTTCTAGGCGTAAGTACAGGCCCTGGAGAGCCGCGCACTTCCCCTGCATGGGCTTAAACCCCAGAAGCACCCCGGTACGGTTGAAAGGGAACCCTCATTCACTCACTGCTCAGAGCCCTGTTTCCATCACTCAGCACTTCTCAGATTCGGGAGCCCTTTGTGGGCGCTGGCTGCAAAGAAAGGTGAAAAATGCCGCCTCAGCTAGAATAGGCAGAAATGGGACTTGATAAACATTCACACTCCCAGAACAGCAAAGCAAGGTCTTTTGATAAAAAAGGGACTAGAGAGGCCAATCCTGAGATCACCAAGGCTCTCCCCTTTCTTCAAGAACCTCTTTTGCTTGGCTGTTTTTTGTTTTTTTTAAAGCAAGAATCATGAATCTAGGCATTTACACCTAGACCAAGGTTTAAAAAAAAAAAGTCCATGACTTCTGCCAAAACAAACAAACAAACAAAAACAAAAAACCATGAAGACAAAAAGCTCTCTCAGATCAATGACTCCCACCATTAGTGAAATTCAGGTCCCAGCGGGATGGCCTGGTTGAGGCTCCAGTGCTGGTACGGAAATGGGAAATACTCACTTTTAACCCCTGAAGGTCTCCGCTGTCACTTCCAGAACACCACACATCAGAAGGGGGGGCACCCTTCTCCAGGGGAGGGGCTGAACCACCCCCACCGGGCAGTGACGGGGAGTGGAGGGTTTCTGGGGTGCACGGGTGTACCCTCTCAGGCTTGGTGGCAGCACCGAGCGGAGACAAGGACTGGAGACATTTACTGATGGAGGGGAGGAAGCCCGGGCTGTGCCAGGCTAACGCGAACCAGGCTGAAAGTAGCAGATCTCCTATCTCAAAGGACAGCCTGGCAACAATTCCTCCTGGCCACCAAGGCCTCTCCCCTCCCCCACCGTACCCGCTCAATCTCCCTCCCCACCCCCACCTGCCTCCCCAGGATTGGGGGCCGAATTTACGCCCGTTTTTGCGTTTTCTCCGACCTGGCGACACCTGGATCCACTTGCTTGGTGTAGACACGCCAATCGGTCCCTCAAGTCCCTTGGCCTCGGTGGGGAGGGTGGAGGGGCGCGGGAAAGCAGAGGGCAGCGCGATGGATCCGGATTCAGGCAGGGTCTGCCCTGGTCGAAAGCGGTTTCCCACCAGCGGGCACGGATCCGCCACGACCGCGCCGCCGGAGCCGACGAAACGCGGGGACTGCGCGCGGGGCTGGGCGCCCCAGACCTCGGGGCGCGCCGGCGGTGTCGGGGGGCGCCAAGGAGGGGACGCTGGGGGTGGTGGGAAGTCGGACTCCTGCCCGCGAAAGGGGAAGGAGCATCCGCACGGCCAGCCCAGGCGCCGTGCTCTTCCCGGAATCCCACCCAACTCTGCAAACCCAAAGATGCCGAAAATTCCGAAAGCGAAACTGCAAGCGGATCTCCAGAAGTTTGGGAACGGTCTCGCAGGCTTGCAGGCGCAGTCTCCGGCCTCGGACACCAGAGCTGCCGTCAAGGCCGGACGCCCCGGGAGGTGCAGATCGCCCCGCACGGCCACCAGCCGCGCGTCCCCGGGCACCTCCCTCGGCTTTTACGCGGGAGGGGCCCCGAGCCCGGAGCCGCAGCCCTGGCCCCGGTTCCGGGGCGGTGGTCCGCCGGGCTCCTGCCGCGCGTCTCCGTCCCTCCCTCCTCCCGCTCCTTCCCACAAGGAAGGGAAACTTGGGCCCTGCGAGAATCCCGAGGAATGTCCTTTGTAATCGGCTGTATCCTGGCGTCCACCGCACAGCTCCGTGCAAAACCGCGGGTTTCGGGGCGTCAGAGTGAATTGTGCGCTTGTCAGCGGCGACGTCAGGAGGACGAGGGGAGGGGTTCCCGGCTGAAACTGCAGTTTACAAGCACAGAGCCATTTTAGGCTGGTTTCCACTCCAGCGAAGCCCACGGGAAGGGGTCCCCGGGAGGACGCGCCCGCGGCGCACGCTGGAAGGGCCGGGGACCCGCCGCGCGCTCAGCCCCGGGGGCCCGAACGGGTGTCCGCCCGAGTGTCGCCGAGCTCACAGCCCCGCCGACCAGGTGGGAGGGAAAATCGGCCGCGGGGTCTCCGGTCCTAGGGTCGCTTCCCCGCGGCCCCCACCCACGGGGCACTGCGAGGCACAGGCCTCTCCGCCAGCGCGGCCTCCGTCCAAGTGGGGAGCACGGGCTGGCCCCTAGGGATCCCCCCCCCCAGGCCCCCACGAATGCCCAGAGACTGCGTTACTGCGCTAACTGCAGACCTGGCCAACACTGCCTTTTTAACCCCAAGATTTAAACACGTCTCGGCGCACTTGGCCAATGCACCATCAGGTTCGCCGGCCTAGAGAAGGTCCCCGGGACCTGCCCTCGCCAGGCCCCGGCGACGCGCGCAGCCGCCTCACAGCCCCCCATCCCCCGGGTCCCTCGCGCGCGACCTCGGCTCGGCAGCTGCGTCCTGGCCGCTGGCGACCCCTGTTGGAGATCCCCTGTCCTAGCTTGGCGAGCTGGGGTTTGCTTCCTTCCCCCTCCGACTCCCCTTACAGGCTCCGACTTTGCCCCCAAACTCCAGCCCCAGAAGCCGGCCTTTCCAGGGCACCACTCAAGCCCCAGAGCGACAGCGCCGCCCGCTGGCCTGCCTCGGCCGCAGGACGCCCCTCTCAGATCCAGGCTTCTCGCGCTGGACCCGGGCAAGGGACACTTTTCCTCCCAGAACGCTGCTCCCATCCCCCACCTTCCCTAGAGCTCAACTCCAAAAGCTGCTCCTCGCTTCCACCCTGCACACGTTTCCGCCGAGATCCGCGCCCGGGCACCTCCCTGCGCCACCCCTTCCATGTTCCCCGCGCCTCGGTCGTGGGGTCCCCCCCCCGCCGAGCGCGGCGTGCCCCCCGCACACCCAAAACCCCACAGGCGTCTGCGGCCAGACTGCACCCAATACCCCGAACAGCTAGTCCTTTGCACAAGCACCTCCTCACTCCGCCTCCCCCAGGAGGGCTTCGGGCGCGCAGACTCCAGCGTACAGAGAGCTCGGCTCGAAGAAAGCCGAAATAAATCCTCGCCTCTGCCTTCATGTATTTTGCACCACGTGTCAGCAGTTTGTCACGTCAAATCATGGCAAGGTCTGGCTCCAAGACGCACACACATTCGGGGCGTATGTCTTTGACCACCCCCCCCCCACAACTGCACACGCCGGTATGCTCCCTGACCCAAGGGCGCACGCAGCAGTCGCGCTTGGACACCCTGGTCCGGACCAGGGGCACCCCTTCCCCCTCCCCCTTAGCAATGGACTGGACACGCAGACTCTAAACACGGAAAAAACTAGGGCAGCTCATTCTGCCTCTCTTTTCCCACTTAATTCGCTAAAACAGCTCCTGGAGTAGCCAAAGAGAGTCGAAACTAAGGGAGGGAAACTCCGGTTGGGTTTTTTCCCACCTCAAAACCTTTATTTTCAGTTTTTAAAAGCCACCTTAGCCCGCCATATTGAAACTGGCACGGTTTCCAGACACTCCTTCTCCGCAGTCGCTGCGCTTCGGCAAGAAAACACGAGTGCGGACCCGGCTCTGGACGCGCGTCCGGCGGCCGCGAGCCGACCTCTTCCCACCCCCGCGCGCCCCCCGTCCCCGGTGCGCCCTGCCCGCCGCCGGGCTCAACATCCACAGAGACCTGGCAGTTCCTACAGTTCTTTCTCTCTCTCTCTCTTTTTTTTTTTTTTTGGCGGATTTTACCAACACACACACGTTTTAAAAATAAACTTCAAAGCCCGATCAGATTAGCAATTTTGAAAGGAGGTCATATGAAAGCAGACAACAGGAAAGCCCCAAGTGACAGGATATTACTTTAAAGCAAAAAAAAAAAAAAAAAAGAACAAAAAGATCATCCATGCTGGAGCACGCTCTGAAACTACTACTGACAATTTCATTTCAAGCTGCACAGGCAAACGTTTCCAGGAGGGCGACTCCGAATGCGTCAACGATTTTTAACACCCTCGATGGCTGGTGTCCAGTCCTCGCAGTGCCGTTTTCCCCCTCCCCGCCCCCAACACACACTTTAAAAAAAAAAAAAAAAAAAGGAAATAAGGGAAGAAAAAAAGAAGAAAAGGGGAAAAAGAAGAAAGAGACCCCGGCGAGGAAGGGCTGGGGAGCGCGGCGCAGCCAGGGCGGCTGCCTCGCCAAAAGGAGCGCACGAACGAGGAAGGTGGGCGGCGGGAGGGGGCAGCCCGCACCCCGGGAGGAGGGCACCTCGCAACTACAGACGGTCTCCCGCAAGGCCGGGCTTTTCAAAGCCCGGGGACGAGGTGGGAAGGGGACGGTTAAAAGCCAAATAAATGACAACCCGGAGCGCACAGCGGAGTTTGGGGCTCTGCCCCCGCGCTGTCGCTGCCCCCTCCCGCTCCCCGCTTTCGCTTCGCTCCCGCAGCACCCCCCTTCCTCAAGCCTCGCGCGCCCCGGCTCGCTCCAGCTCCCCTGATGCCCCCGAAGCTGGACCACCAGACGCCGGCCGGCGCACACTCAACCTGCGGGCCGGGGGGTCGCGGCCGGGTGCGGGGACGGCGGCCGGCGCGGCGCCCTACCTGGTGAAGTTCGCGCTCCCCTCGGAGTGGCTCCAGGCCCTGGGCGCCCCCGGGGAATGGGGCGGGGGTGGGGGGGACGCCGGGCCCCCGCGCTCGCTCCGCCTCGCCCCTGCTCGCCGTGCGCGGCTCGCGCCCCGCCCGCCGCCTCCCCCGAGCGCCCGCTCGGGTCCTCCGACTCCCACTACAGCCTCATTCCAATATGGCATCCTCGGTGTGCGCATGCCCGGCACTCTTGTTTAAGATTATTATTTTGTGTGTGTGCAGCGAACTCCTGCAACGACCTTTCTCAGCGCCCGCAGGACGCCTCCCACCCGCCAGCCCGCGGGACGCTCGCGCCTGCTTCCCGGGTCCCGCGCTGTGGCCCCCGCCCCCCAACACACTCACACGGGCACACTCCGCGCCCTCCCCGCCCGCGCCCCTTGCTCCTTCCTGGAGATCACTCCGTACACGTTGTGCAGAAAGTTCGCACCAACGGCGTCTCCGCAGACGCGGCGGCAGGGAAACGCGGGCACACTCCGCACACTCCCCCTGCACACTTCTGCTCTCCGGGCTCGCAAGCCTTCGGCCGACCGAGCGCGCAAGCCTGCGCCTTATCCGCCGAGGGCCGGTTTGGAGCGGAGAGAAACGCAATTCTCTCCGCCACCCCTGCCCCGCCCACTGTGCCCCCCCCCCCTTCCCCAGGGCACTTACACTGAGCCTTTTCTATGGAGATTCTCTTTTCCCGGTTCCTTGGGGAAGGCGGGAGGGAGCTGCGGAGAGGGTTTTTCAAGGGAACGTGCCCCCAGGGGGAGGGGATTAAGTTGGGGGCGCTGCGCGGGCGAGCTTGGGGCTGCAGCGCAGGGCCCGGCCCGGACCGGGTAGCGGGGCAGCACCCGGGCCTGGGCGCCCGCAGAGGGCACCTGGCCCGGCCCGGCTATTGTACGGCGGGGGGGAAACTTCTGCTCGGGGAGGAAAGGAAAGATGTGGCCCTCGCGACTCGGGAGCGCCTGGGAGGCGGCGCCGCAGGGCGAGCAGCCGGCGGGCGCGGGGGCCCGGCGCTGCGCCCCGCGCGTGGGGGGACGACGGGGGGACCTTCCCGGGCCTGAGGCGCAGTGGCCCCGCAGAGACTGAACCAAGCGTCCCCAGCTCGGAAAAGCTGGCGACGCGCGGGTGAGAAAGAGTGAGAACTTACAAGGGGGCGCTCGCCGTACTCGAGAGCGAGGAGACGCCGGTTGGGGACGGCAAATTATTTCCCCGGAAACCGGACCTACGGACACGTTTGGGCGGGGGTGTTGTTCTATTGCCGCAGAGGGTGAACTTCTCCAGGCTCTCCCAATGTTGTGTCCATCTGTTTCCCGCCAACCGCTCTTGCCCGGCCCCAACGCTGGCGCGGGGGGTGTCAGAAGCGCCCCGCGGTCTCCAGCGTCCCGCGCCCTCGCGGCTCCACCCGCGCTCCCTTCGCCGCCGCCCCTGCGTCCTCCAGGCCGGGGAGCTCCGGTGAGTGAGTTACCCCGGGGAGGATGCACGCGTTGAAGGGCTGGGGGCGGTGCAAGGACCCGGGGGTGGAGTCCGGGGTCAGAGGCTGACGCGCGCGGGGTCGGCGGGGTCCCACCTGGGTCCTGCCCCGACGGTGAGCCGACCTGGCCCCGGAAGAACCGCGGGAGGGACGTGGCGGGAAAAGGCCGTCTCCGCGCCACGAGGCAGGGGGCGCCTTCCCGGGAAGCGGTCCCGGGAGCCCCGAGACCCCGCGCACGTCGAGTCTTGGCAAACCGGATTGCCTTGCACCCCGGAGAGCGCTTTGCGGGGTCTACAACGACTTCCTCCGTCCTGTCACACCTCCTGAAGGTGCCACCTGAGACCGGGAAGGGTCACACGGCCCACGCAGGGCGAGCTCCAGCCGGAGTCCGCAGCCCTGCGGGTCCTCTCCGCTTGCGGACGCGATGCTGGAGCCCCTGGCCCTTGCGCCTGCAGGTCACTGGAGGCGGGGACTCCTCAAACCGACTGCACCCGGTCGGCCCCTTTCACCGCACTCCCAGGATGCCTCCGCCCGCGCCCTGAAACAGCTCCCCGTGGAGACGCACGGACGCGCTGCGGCTCGGAGGAATCCAGAACGCGGACTCCAGTCTCCTGGGCCCTGTCCCTCAGTGTCCTGCACCCA